TGGAGCGTTCTGGGGAGGGGAGGAGCAGGGGGTGGAGCGTTCAGGGGAGGGGGAGGAGCAGGGGTGGAGCGTTCTGGGGAGGGGAGGAGCAGGGGGTGGAGCGTTCAGGGGAGGGGGAGGAGCAGGGGAGCAGAGCATTCAGGGGAGGGGAGGAGCAGGGGGCGGAGCGTTCAGGGGAGGGGAGGAGCAGGGGGCGGAGCGTTCTGGGGAGGGGGAGGAGCAGGGGGCGGAGCGTTCAGGGGACGGGAGGAGGGGAAGTGAGCTAGGGGTGGGGTGGACAGCTGCGGGGCCCTTTTAGGCATGGCCGGCCCTGCTCAGACGCCGCTTTTGAAAAATGCTGAGGGGAAGCGGCCGCTTCCCCTGCACCCCACTAGCTACGCTACTGCCGCCAACCCCCCTCTGCGCACAAGGTCTCGGGCAGGGGCAGGGGATGCACATCCCTGCTCGGTGCCTCAGTTTTCCCCCGAAGCAGGGCTGCTGGTGCTAAGCTGGGGCGGGGGCGATGCTCTGGCCCCTCCACTCTGGGCAGAGCGAGCGCGTTAACTCGCCGGGGTGTCAGTGTGTGGGTGAGGCTGCCTGGCAGCTCGCACATGGCATTGGCTGCACCCCGGCAGGAGGTGGGCACGACGGGTGGGGTGGTGAGGGTGGGGCAGTTGGGCCAGGTCCAACCCTTGGGGCCCAGCCACTGCCGACAGTGCAGCAGGAACGTTACCTCCCTGCCCTGCCAGCTCCTGGGCACAAAGGACATCTGGCCCAGATCCCCAGGCCTGGTGCTCTCGCACGGCTCTGGCCCAGTCCCTGGGAGGCCCCCTTCAGTGTGTCAGCCCCTTCAAGGTCACACACTCACTGGGGTGAGCCTCTTGGCTTCCCCACCTCCCGCAACCAAACCTCAAAGCCTTCAGCATCCCTGGGTCACACCTCGAGCTCCCGGCAGCGAGTCCACCCGAGCTGGACACGGGGGAGACTTGTACACCCAGAAGGAGCAATGCACCCCCACATTCTTTAGCCAGTGGGGTAACTCCCGGGCCAGACCTCACTCCCAGCCGGGGTTCGGTACTCCCCCCTCCCTTTTGTCTTTGTTTCTTCCATGTCTCAAGCAGTCATCTTGGGTGCGGATTCAGTGAAGAAGGAACCAAGATTAACTCACTCCCCAGCCTTAAATAGGGTTTGCGTGTGGCAAGAATCCTTTGTCTCCCAGTTTGACCCCCCAAGATGGTGTCCAGTATCAGGTGACATGATCACATGACTCTGCAATGTCAAAGCAGCATCCCAGGAAACTTCTCAGGAAGGAGGGAGATTAGCATCTTCAAAGTCCTATCGTTCCCTCTAATGGCCCATCCAGGCTGATTGCCTACGGTCTGGTGGGCGTTCCCCAGGTGAAAACACAGTTGTAATTGTTACATAGTCAATAATCCTAACTTCAGATACAGAACTGATACATGCACACACAGTGGATAATCGCATTTAGTAAATCAGAACCTTTCCAATGATACCTCACATGATCCATCTTGCATAAAATACATCTTACTTATGCCATCTTCATATCATAAGCATATTTCTATGAAGAATATGGGGCATAATGTCACACCGCCCTCCTTAGATTCCCGCCAGAGGGTTAGTCACTGCTAATGCGAAGGCCGTGTGCCAAATGCGCTCTTTAGGTCATGGTTAACTAACTTCTTAGGGCTTGTCTACAGTACCGCGCAGGGTCGATCTAAGATCCGTGTGTGACGAAGTGACAACGTGAATAGCGTAGCTGAAGTCGATGTACTTAGATCTACTTCCCACTGTGTCTTCACTGCGGTAAGTCAACAGCTGACGCTCTCCCGTCGACTCCACTTGCACTTCTCGTTCTGGTGGAGCACTGGAGTCGACGGGAGAGCGCTCAGTGGTCGATTGATCACATCTATACTAGATGCAATAAATCAACCCACACTGGATTGATCACTACCTGCCGATCTGGTGGGTAGTGTAGACAAGCCCTTAGTGTTACCAAAAATTGTAGTGTTACCCAGAGATGTTTTTGGGGTTCTGGATTTCTTTTGGGGTTCTGGGGTTCTTTTTCCAAGTTGCCTGAAAGCCTTTGAATGTGCAGCATTGTTATCACAATGTAGATATCAATATCTTTTAGAGGTAGGTTGTCACAGAGTCCCTGGGCAATGCTCTGGAACTGCTCCCCACAAAGCCAGTCAGGACTTTGGGGAGCCTCCTCTCCCATGGAGCAGACTGTCTTCAGGGCAAGGAGCTCACACGGCTTCACCTTCCTGGGTCTGACCCTGAAGAATTCAGCATTTGCCCCCCGTACGCTTCCCACAGCGAGTCCGCCCTGGCGGGCTCCTGGGGAAGCCAGAGGGTCCCGCACCCTCTCTTTGCAGTCAGACGTGACTCTCAGCCAGCCGGTAAAACAGAGGTTTATTAGATGACAGGAACATGGTCTAAAACAGAGCTTGTAGGTACAGCGAATGGGACCCCTCCACCAGGTCCATTCTGGGGTCCCGCGAGCCAGACACCCCAGTCTGCCCTCACTCCTAGTCCCCAGCCAGCTCCAAACTGAAACCCCCTGCAGCCCCTCCCCCTCTGCTGAGCTCCTTTCCTGAGCCAGGAGGTCACCTGACCTCTTTGTTCTCCCACACCTTTAGCTATCACCTTGCAGAGGGGAAGGAGCCGGCCATTAGTTGCTAGGTGACAGAGGTACCTACACAGTATTCAGAGGAAACATTAAGAACAGTCCCACTTCGTCACATTGGTGTCTTGGCATGAGCTGGTGTGCCTCCATTTCCCCTTCCACAGCAGTCTAGATTGGTTACGCTTTCTCTGCTGTGCCGAGCTCCAAGTCTGTTCACAGTCCTAGCTGAGAAACAGTATTCTCGTAGGACTTCCTTGTTACCACTCCTAGCCCAGACAAAAGTTTCTTCCAAAAATCATGCATCTTACACATTTCTAAAGGATTTACCATCCACACCAGATTCTTTGTCTCACCCCATAGATTGTGAATGACGAGGCATAAAATTACAGCAAATTCATGACAGGGCGGCTCTTCCAAGTGTGATGCTCATACCACGCCTTCTGTTCATAGAATCATAGAATATCAGGGTTGGAAGGGACCTCCGGAGGTATCTAGTCCAACCCCCTGCTCAGAGCAGGACCTAATCCCCAACTAAATCACCCAGCCAGGGCTTTGTCAAGCCGGGCCTTAAAAACCTCTTGGCAACAAGAGCACACTGTTGACTCATATCCAGCTTCTCGTTCACTGTGACCCCTAGGTCCTTTTCTGCAGAACTGCTACCTAGCCATTCGGTCCCTAGTCTGTAGCAGTGCATGGGATTCTTCCGTCCTAAGTGCAGGACTCTGCACTTGTCTTTGTTGAACCACGCCTTCTGTTCAGACAGTCCAGTTTGTTCAGCATTCATTGCATTGGCCAACCCCTTCCTGAACCACCGTA